CAGGACTGCGCTACAAGCAGCTCCACCAGCTCCATGGAGCTCAGCCTAGCAGCAGGAGAACCAGTGGCAGAGCTGCTTGGAGCACAGCCCTGGCTCTGATTACAGTCCTGGCCAGTGGCTCTCCCCTGCCTCCTGCTGCCAGGCTCAGCTCTGTGGAGCTGCAGAGCCTCCCACCTCCAGGCTGTGCTCACCAGGACTGTGTTCCAAGCAGCTCCACCACTGGCTCTCCTGCCGCCTCCCACTGCCAGGCTGAGCTCCATGGGGCAGGCAGAGCCGCTTGGAGCACAGCCCTGGCTCCAAGCGCAGCCCTGGCAAGCACAGCCCAGTAGCTGGAGGCTCTGCAAGCCCACTGAGTTGAGCCTGGCAGTGGGAGGCAGGGGAGAGCCACTGGCCATGGCTGCAATCGGAGCCAGGGCTGCACTCCAAGCGACTCCACCACTGACCCTCCACCACCTCTCACCACCACGCTCAGCTCCATGGGGCTGTGCAGCCTCCTGCTGCGGGGCTGTGCTCGCCAGGGCTGTGCTCCAAGCAGCTCCACCAGCCCCATGGAGCTCAACTTGGTGGCGGGAGGTGGAGGGAGAGTCAGTGGCAGAGCCGCTTGGAGTGCAGCCCTGGCTCTGAGCGCAGCCCTAGCCAGTGGCTCTCTCTTGCCTCCCGCCACCAGGCTCAGCTCTGTGGGCCTGCGGAGCCTCCAGCCACTGGGCTGTGCTCACCAGGGCTGTGCTCCAAGTAGCTCCACCACTGGATCTCCTGCTGCTGGGCTGAGCTCCATGGGGCTGGCGGAGCTGCTCAAAGTGCAGCCTGGCAGCAGGAGGCGGGCAGACACAGGGCTGCACTTCAAGTGGCTCTGCCAGCCCCGTGGAGTTCAACCTGCCCTCCCAGCACTGCTGGGCCCCTGGATCTACACGCGGGATGACAGGAAGCTGACACTGCTGCCTGGGGCCAGCGGCAGCACCAGTCTTCCTGGCACTGGGCATGGGCCGTACCCAGGGGTGCAGGCCTCCAGATCACCACATGGGATGACAGGAGGCTGGTGCTGCTGCCTGGGGCCAGCAGCAGCAGCCTCCTGTCATCCCAAGCAGAGATCTGGGGTTCTGCACCCCTGAGAGAAGTCCGGCACAATGCCACAGCCCTCCTGGGGGCGCAGGCCCCCAGATCTGTGCGCAGGATGACAGGAGGCTGCTGCTGCCAGCAAGGGACACCAGTTTTGCTTTTAGCAGTTTGAGGTGCAGTTTTCCAGAAATCCCTGCACCTCCTTGAAACTTGGCAGGTGTCATGCCCTCAGAAGGGGCTTCCATCCCTGCAATTTTCATCCAAATCAGGCAAGAAATGACAAAGTTATAGGCATTTTCATGATTCCTCATTATAGCCTAAGTGCGAAACGTTGAAACGCATTGAAACAGGGAAACATTTTTGACTAAACAAAACAGAATGGTGCTTCAAAACAAAATGAAACAAAACACTGTCACTTTGAAACAGCAAAACAGAAGTCAAAACAAAATGCTGCTGTTTTGCACAGCCTTAGTAAAGATGCATGGCACAATGCCCCTCCCTCCTGCCCACAAGGGGGCAGCATGATACCAAGCCCCAGAAAGCTGTATAGCTGGAAACCATTTCCTAATGAAGGAGTATTGCCTACTGATTACCATTAGGACTCCTGGGTTCATCCCCTAGCTCAGCCGCTGACCCATTTGCAACCTTGCAAGAGTCTCTACACATCTCTGTACTCGTGTCCCTATCTGTAAAACAGGTAAGTAAACCAGGCTCCCTAGGCTGCAGTCTGCTAATATTTATGAGGAGTGTCAATACCTTCAGATGTGATGGCCTGGGGAATGGTGACATTTAGTCAGTGAGCTCTGCTGGGAAACAACAGAAGCCCCCATCTAGGGCTATGTGAAATTTTGGTAGCCATTTCATTTTGGAGGTGTTTTGAGCTGTTTTGGCACCCACAACACCAAATTCAAATCAAAATGGAAGGCTCCGAAACGTTTCGGAAATGTTTAGGAGAATACGAGTGTCAGAGCCAGGCTGAAACAAAAACTAAGAAGAGGGAGGGGAAAGAGGGGGGGAAGGACTGCTCTGATATTGACATCTAGCTCCTGGTTCAATTCCTCAGCTGATTGCTTCCTCCACACTTCTCTGATTGTTTTCCCAGCAGGCACGGGTCCCTGATCTGCGTGTGGGGTTTCAGCAGGCTGCCACGGCAGGCTGGGGCCAGCAGCAGCTGGTTGGTGCAGGCCGTGCTGAGCACTGGGATGACTGTGGTGCTGCCACTGACTCCAGCCTTCAGCGGCAGCCTGCTGAAACCCGGTGTGCAGATCCACTTTGTGGGGGGCTCTACCACAAGCCCTCAGAGGCCCCAATCACTGCTGCCAGAGCCGGTGAATACAGGGCTTTTTTTTTTTTTGGTTGTTTTTTAATAAAAGCTCTGCATTCATCAGCTGCAGAGCATGCGGATGACAGAATGCTGCTGCTGCCAGTGGGGGCCAGTGCCAGCACCCGAGTCTGCCTGGCGCAGCCCACGCTGAGTGCTGAAAAGAACCCAGTGACGTCTGGAAAAACCCAGCACGCCAATCCAGGGGTCCACTCCCACTGGGAGGGCTGAGGGGATGACAGCATGCTGCCAGCAAGTCATACTAGTTTTGTTTTGAACAGTTTGAGGCGCAGTTTCACAACCTCCCCTGCACCTATCTCCTTGAAACTTGGCAAGGTTCATGCCCTCAGAAGGGGCTAACATCCCTGCAATTTTCATCTGAATCAGGCAAGGAATGACAAAGTAATAGGCATTTTAGTGATGCCTCATTATAGCCTATGGCCGAAACGCCGAAACAGTGTCGAAACTCTGAAACAGATTCGGTTGATTTGAAATGGGACAATGGTCCGAAACACTGAAATGAACCACTGTTCCTCCGAAACTGAAACAAGACACAGCTGTTTCACACAGCCCTACCCCCATCATCTGGGCCTTTTAGCAGTAGATTGGGTGAGGCACCAGTGAGTGTATGGAAGGAAAGTGCCCAGGCCAGATACTGGAGCTAGGCCCTTTCCCAGGTCTAACCCACTTTGGGAAGGGACCCCAGGAAGGCTCTGGTATGCATTCCTATTCACCAGCACACCCTGTTCCTGGATTTCTACTCCCTACCCTGGATGGGTTTCACGTAGACCGGAAACATCCTCATGCCTCCTGCCCAAGTCACTTGGTGGAGCTGCATGGCAGGAGGGAGCAGTAGGTTGGCTGGCTGGGAAGGACACTCCCTAGATGAGCATCAGGAAAAGGGAAACAAGCTCAAGTAGAGGAAGCCACAAGCCAGCAGGGCTGGCACAGCAGAGGTCTTTCCTCCTGGACTTTGCTGTCTGATGTTGGGGCTGTATGGTCTCACCGACTCCTTTGTGGCTATCCAGGCTGATGAACTCGATGGTGCCCTCATGAGGAGTCCTGCTGCCTTCACGGTGAGCAACGTGCTTTCCCTCCGGGCAGTATCGGAAAGCGAAGCAGTAGCCTGCCAGAGTGACCTGAGAGACAGTGACAAAGCTTAATGGCTTGTGGAGGGACCCCAGCAAGAGGTAAGAAGGGAGGAGCACTGTTGATCTGGGAAAGCCAAAGAGCTCTCCATCCTCTTACCCCTTCTTCAGGGAGATCTCCAGTGGGAATCAGAGAGACCTCCAGGGCATCCCATGCTCTTTTCCCCTCTGGTTTCTTATCTAAACAGACTTAAGGTAACCCAAGGCATCAGGACCCTTTCCTGGCCTACAAAGATCCTTGGTTTCTGTAAGCAGCAGCTCCACAGGATGTGGGCTCTGCTCCCATTGCATGCGAGTCCCAGCAATTAGCATCCCCTCCCTGTGGGCACAGTGACAGAGCTCCACCTCCACTCCCAGGAGCCCTCCCACAGCCTCTGCTCACATGTGGGTCTCTCTGCCCCTGCTGTTCTCATTCCCCACCTGTGTGAGGTCCACTGGGTTCACAAAGATGTTCTCAGCAGCGAGGTCTCCATGCACATACTCATTCTCATGGATGTACTCCAGGCAGTCTAGCTACAAGCAGACAGGACATCAGAGCCAGGCAAAGCATTTTGGCACCTTGGTTAACTCTATTACGGGCCTCCAGGGCAATTTTCCCTGGGTACTCAAAACCTGGCAGACTGAGAAGAGGGCTCACTAGGTGCAGCCCTTCTCAGCCTCTGCTATTCAGGTGTTGAGGGACAAACCTGAGAAATTCAGGGGCTTCCATTCACTCCCCAACTTCCAGCATCCTTGAGGGTGAACACAGATACACCCAGGAGTTTGTAACTACCACCTCCAGCACAATCTAACACAGAGATCAGAGACTGGAGCCCAGCTCAGTCCACTGGGCCCTAGTTTGCTAAGTTACAGAGCAAAAGCAGTTTCTACTGACTTCAAATGCTGTGCGCGCTACTACTTCAGACCCTGAAAAATGTATTCTGGCAGGTTTGTGCAATTTCATTTGGCTCTTCTCTACTTTTAAACATGAATAGCTGGATGTGACTTGGCTTCCTGTTCTCTCATCCTATGCCTAAAGCAGCAGCAGACTCAGCATCTGCAGTGCAAGTGCACTGCTCCCAAGCCCAGCCTGTGTGAGAAGCAGCATCCTCTTCACAACCCTACCCCAGAAAAGGCTGGACCTGCACGTACCAGCCGCACTGCAACCTGGAAAACTGCTTTCTCTGTCAGGTCTGTGCCATCGTCAAGGATGGACTGAAGGGTTCGCCCTAAATCTGGGAACACCAGAAACCTGTGACAGGAGAAAGAATTAATCAACTCAGGTGTTCAGCAACACCCCTCAAGGATGGTTTTCAAGGTCCTCACGCCACCATTGCCCAAACCTCCATGTAGACTAGTCTCCCTTCACCTCTTGTTTAACAAAGACAAAAATTTCCTTCAAAAATGAAGGGAGAAAAATGCAAACCACATCACATAGTGCTGAAGCTTCAGCAATCCCTCTCCCTTATTACTGACAGAGTCTTTGAATCAAGATGTTTTCCCTGCTGTGAAAAGCTTACAGTCCAAGACAGAAGACACCCCACCAGGAGAGGAGTGAAGATACAGCAAGAAAAAAGGATCACTGGAAAAAGGAAGAAAGTTGTGACCATATGAAGAGAAAACGGAAAACTATTCCAAAAAGTAATGGGTATTGCAAAGGCAGCAGTGGAAGGAGAGGGGGCAAGGAAAAAGGAAAGGCAGGAGGAAACAAAAGCACCCAGGCAGGTCAGGAAGGGGCTGAGTAGAAAATTGATGCAGAAGACATGAAGCTGAAGCAGCAGGAGGAAAAGAAGTTTTTCACCTGCAGTGTTTTGGAAAGACTAAATGGAGGAGTGATGGTAGAGGTGGGGTTTATAGCTATCACCACTGCATATACTACAGGGTTAGAAGCTGGTGGGAAGATAGCCGGAAAAGGAAGGTATTACAGAGGGGAGGTCACAGGCAGAGCCTGAAGTGGGATGAGAGAAAACAGATCCTAGGAGATGGAGAGGGCAATAGTTCTTGACATGCAGGAACCCCTAGCCATGCCTGTCTGCAGTCATGGACCTGCCTCACCTGTAGCTACTTGCATGAAGTCCAAAGCCAATGCAGTTTGGAATTCCCAGCAAAGGCACCAAATGCATCTTCTTCCACTTATCCACTAGGAGGGAGACACAACAGTCAGAGTTGTGGCTTTGCTGTGTTGCTGGCTGAGGCACTTTACAATTGGAAAAGCACCCACCCAGCCCTACAGGCAGGAACTGCCCTTTTCTCACAGACCCTTTCTACACCTGGCAGGCCAGATACAAAGTTCACCCATAAGCAACAGTTAAGCAGACAGCTGGGTGTCAGGTAAACAGAGCTCTAGAGGGAATCACTGACAGATAAGTGGGGACAGACAAATAGCTACAGAGATGCTAAGTTTTGGCCAGGGAAGAAAAAGATGTCAAGCTCTTCCCACAGCAGCAGGTTTACCTCAGGTGCTTGGACAGGGGGTGAGTGCCAGATAGCAGGCTCTGCACAGCTCGGTCTGAAAGAACAGTTCAGGAATGGGACTCTCAGCAACCTGGGGTTGATGCACCCTAGAGACCGTGCATCCACCACCCGACAGGCCAGGGTGCAGGGTAGACATCTGCCACTGAAACCAACGCAAAAGTCATGGACAGCGGAGGTCCTACTGCACACACCAGGGCCAAGTACCAGGAGGTTACTGCACAGGTACTGCCCAGGAGGGCCCGTGGACCTTGTCCTTTCCTGCTTCTGGGACAGGGAACACTTTACACACTGATCAGCACTGGATGCCTTTCAGCACAGACTGATTAACAAACTGATGCCCCCAAGTGGCCTTATAAGAGAGTCCCCTGGCTGCTCTGCAGGGATGACCCAGGGATTCGGGGCTCAGCCTTCCAGAAAATAATCCACACCTCCTCCTCCAGGGAGAACTGACCTGTAGCTTTCTTGGCAGCTCGCTGTAAGAAGTTCTGCTCATTGTAGATCTTCCCATTTTTGGCATCCTGGGAGGGGGAGGAGAAAGAGGTGAAATTTCAGTACATCACCATGTACTGTCATCTCTGGCAATTCTTGCCTGCTCATCTCAAGGCTTTTCACTAAGTGGGTGAGGATTAAAATCCCTATTTTATGGAAATGGAGTGACCTGCCTAAGGTCACCCAGCAGCTCAGTAGCTGAGGTGGAAACAGACACAGGGTCTCTGGATTCTCTGTCCAAGGTCTACTGAACGACACCACCTCCCAGGATCTGGACAGTTCAGCTAGCCCCAGAACAGAGGTCTCAGGACAGAGGGTTCTAAGTGCTACTGATCTGAACACTCTGCAGGTTAGCAAGTGCCCCAGAACTGAGAGACCTGCAGTTACTTTTGGAGTAAAAGCTGTCACACCAATAGATTATTGAACTGCTTATTCTATGAACTCTCTTTGGCTATTCTGGGCTGATGAAAGGAGTTAAATTCACCAGCCCATTCAGCTACTGCATGAGTATGACTGTAGCTTATAACAGGGAAGTTCCAACCAGGAATTGCACAGTAGCCCAAAACAGGCAGCTCCCAGCTGTATTCCAGCCTGTCAGGAAATAGCCAATCCAGCATGGAAGCCTCTTATAGCACTTCCCACCCAACAGAGGTTCCAGCTCAACTGCTGGGTGCGGACCCTGAGCTCTCAGGACCCATCTTTATATACCACTGGGGATCTGTCCCCACCTGCGTTTGGTAGTTCCCTTTTCTCACTGCCCCAAGATACCCAGATGCTCATTCAGAAGCAGAACACAAGCTAGCTTAGCTAGTTTACGATGTCACATGATAGAAGGTGGTGGCCATTCTAGATCTGCTGGCCCTGCTTGATATCATGAGCCCCACACCCATGCAGCCAGCAATGCTGTAAATCAGCCAGCAGACAATGTTGAATATCAAACTGCAAAGCCTGTCTAGACTTTAGTGCCTTTCTGCTAGGAACATTTTGGCTAGTGGGATGTGAAGAACCTGTCCTGATTCTAAACCCTTAGCACCAGTTCATACCTGTGTGTCTATACATCCACTGGCCTTTACTCCCATCATATCCCATACTCCTCTCTAAGGGATAGGATAGGGGGCTTGGCTCATAGGTAGAAATAATGGGGAGTGATAGCTACTGTGTGAGGGCTTAGATCAGTGGTTCTCAATCAATCAGAGTACTGCAGACCCCTGGGGTGCTTTGAGATCCTTTCAGGGGTGCCACAGGGTACCTTGCAATGTTAGCACTGATAGATATGCAAATATGATTCACAAGACAAACCCAGAGGAATCCAGTAGGAATCCATAGTGTTAAAAACATTCTGATCTGTAAGGTTGAGAACACTGGGTTAGATGGTTGCTGAATGAATGGTGCTATGGCAGAACTGCTGAATGGAGAAGCTAGGTATGCGGGGAGCAGTGGGGGAGGGCATGTGTGTGTTACAGGCATGATTAAGGCTTCTTGGAAACTAATTAGTTCTGCCCAGCTTTGTGGTATTTACCCTGTACTGGACAAGACTCCCCACCAATGCCCTCCCTCTCCCAGATGGTTGTTTCCCTGACACAAAAGGGAGAATAAATTGGTTCACGTTACTGCAAAAGAAGGCCTATCTTAAAACACCTAACTCCCTGTGCATGCTAATCATCACTGCTGCTGCTATCAAAGACAAATTTCTGAAAACCATTAGTTTCCAGAGCCAAGGCAGATATGAGATGGCAAGCTGGATATTACTGTGGCTCGTGAATTGTCAGCAATGCTGTCAGCTACATTCCAGCTGTAGAGTAGTTATTACTGGGAATGAGGAGAATTCTGAAGACCCTGGCTGGATTGGCAGATGCCGGGATGCTGGCACAGGGCTACAAGGCTAGATTAATTAGCATTTGACTTATAAGCTCACTCTGGAGCTGCAGAGGAAGAGATGGAGAATCTCTTAGTGCTGGGGTCTAAAGTAATTTTCCACACTGAGCACAACCAAGAGCCTGATTTTCAGGGATTCTGAACATCTTCAGCTTCCATTGGACTTCAGCAGGATTTGTGGGTGCTCAACAGCTCTGGAGCAAGTGCCAGGATTCCAGCCTTTCCAGTTTTTTACATGGAAAAAACTGTTACTCTTGTAACAACTCAATAACATGTGTTACCTCATTTACCATCCTGGAATCAACAGGACTGCAGAGGGATAACTGACAGTAAATATGCGGCTAGTGAGTCTAAACAGCAGCCGCTCTGGAACAGCTTTTCTTTAAATACTCATAAAAATGCAAGGAAAACAGATGCAAGGAGGCCGAGCTTCTATTCAAAACCAAGTAAAATACTCCTAGGGAACTGTAGTGGGCTTTTCAGCCTAAAGGAGGAAGTCCAGTCATTTCTTTAAATAAGCGCTACCTGCAGCAATGCTAGTTGCTGCCCCATTATATCTCACAGTTTAAAGGCCAAAGGGCATCACTATGATTTCCTGGTCTGAACTTGTGCGTTAAAGCATTCTACAACCGTCTGCCATGGCTTCTGGCAGGATACCAGCCAGTCAGACCACAGGGCCCCACACAAACAGAACACTAAGCCTTATGAACACAGATCAGGACTCACAAGTTTGAGAGAGTATCTTTGCTTTTGAGGACAGGCTCCAGATGCTGACTGTGCTGCGAAGGGATGGAATCAACAAGGTTATGGGAGCATGAGACACAGGTATTTGCAATGCTGGTAGCCCAGAAACTAGCATTACTAAATATACCAAGATGCAATTTGACTCCTATTTCATTATTCTCTGCCTCTTTCACTTCAGGGCTGTGAAAACACTATCTGTGAAGACTCCTTTGCAAGTAGCTATGTGACAATTCCCACCTTGCTTCCAAGGCATAAGACCTTTTTCTTTTTCCTGTCCAAGTCTTGTAAAAGCTCTAAGCACACTAGCATCTAGGCATGGCCACATCAGCAGGGCAGTTTCTTCTTTGAACACAGTATGCAAACAGGAGGAGTCATCCCCACAGAAAGGAGGGAAAAAGCGTACAGGACAGCAAGCCAGTGACAAAGCAGCTCATAGTGCATGTTGCCTTTTTCTAGAGACAGGAACTTTGAGGTAAGCAGCCAGATTAACATATATAAAGGAAGTGTAGACTCCCAAATTCAAGCACTGGTAGGAACAGGGAAACCCATTTGGACAATGATGCCACGTTGATATTTATGTAAATGTACCTTTAGAATTCTCCAAGTGTGTTTTGGTCGAAACATAAGATCTTAAACTTGTATTTATGAGGTCAGCCTCTGTCGTTCACTTTTCACATGTCAGAGCAACCAGAGACAAGGGTTCTGGTAGGGAAAGAAAGGGGCAGTCTGGGCTGCCTAAACAGGGCAAGACTACAGAATCGGGAGTGAGATGGGGGAAGGATGACTATGTCCTTCATTTGTCTAAGTTGCCACTATGCCTATGACTGGTCCTGCCTGCAACTGGGAAGTATTACCATGAGACTCCAGTTTTCATACAGCAATGTATCCACTCTTCCCCACCAGCCTGAACTTTCACCCCCTTGCCATAGTACAAGGCCACACAGCACCTTCATATATCAGCCCCCAGTTGCCCTGGCTCAGAAGCTTCACAAGTTTCCACTGTTTGTTGTTCTGGTCTGTCAGGATCTCCCCCTCTGGAAGAGGAGCTACCAGGGCATTCCTGATGCGCCGTGGAGATCGAGGACTGAGCTTTGCTTCAATGAGGAGACACAAAAAAGATCAAATAGCAAGAGACAATACAAAAAGATGCACCATATCCACTCTCAAGCAAAATGCAGCCCGGATTCAAATCCAGAGTTACTCTGAGCAATCTACAGTGGCTCGTCTCCCATTCCCAGGGACTTTACCCCGCTCCCTTGATAAAGCCCTGGATTTCAGCTACTTTCCACCCAGCAGAGGATAGACTTCTCTTACAGTTCAGCCACAGCCCTCTACCTCAGCCAGGAGGTGAGGGAAAAAAAGGAACAATAGGGAAGACAGGCACACAGACAGCCAAAACACAAGTAAACCATTTCTGCAGTGCCCCAGCACCAAATAATAGCAATGATATTCCTGTCGTCTTCTCCCACCCCAAGCACAACAGAGCTGAGTAGTACCCTGATTCTCACCCTTGGATGCCACTGTGGTCCCCGGGGACACGGCCTTGGGGCTCCGAGTCTCCTGTCTGGCTGCAGTAAAAGCTGGGATTTTCTTGGGTGACACCCATTCTACTTTCGTTTTCATAGGAGATGTCACTGGCAGCGATGGCTCCTCCTGCATCAAGGCTGTAAAGAGAAAACAGTGCATAAAGAAATGGGCCCTCACAATACAGTCCAGATTATCCCAGTGATGAAAATCATATTACTTTGTTACTAGCATTTTTCATCCATGGCCCTCAAGCCCTTTACAGTTACTGTAGTTTCATGATTCACTCTGGTAAAGTCAACAAATGAGGCTATTCCCACTGTATAGACTGAGAACTTCAAGCACAGAAGAGACAATTGACTTCTCCATGGCAACTGCCTAATGCCCCAAAGTCCCCAGTTGAAACTGTATTTCCCTTCTCCTCTACAAGTGTGTCTGAAAACCAACAATTTGGTACACTCTAGGGTTACCATACATCCAGATTTTCCTGGACATATCCTCTTTTTGAGCCCTCTGATCTCTGTCCGGGTGGGTTGTTTAGATCTACCCAAATGTCCAGGATTTTGCTGTGCTCCAGGGGTAGGAGCAGGGGGAGTGCGATCGGAGGCAGCAGGGAGCACAGACATGCCTGCCTGCAGCTGCAGTGGTGCGGGCAGACCCATATGGTGCTCCCTGCTGCCTCCATCACCCTCCCCTTGCTCCTACCCCTGCAGTACAGCAAAATCCCAGACATTTGGTCAGGGCAGGAGAAGCCAGAGCTGCAGCTGTGACAGGACTAGGGGTGGGGTAGGGATGGTTGCCTGTTCTCCAGTGGGAGAAAGGGG